TTTTGAAAACAACGACAATGACAACAGCATTTCCAGTGAGCATCCAAAATATAACGGGAGTCTTCTGCTGTCAGGCCTTTAGTGTCACCATCTTCTGGGTACTTTTCCTTTCCCCGGTGGAAATTTCCTCACTTCCAGTCGCTCCCCCCACCCCCCTTAACCTTACTCCGGCCATGCAGTTTCACATGCTGTTCCACATCCCCTCCGCCATCACCCGCCAGGAGCATATCACACTCATTTTGTCGCTGGGGACAGCTGCCAGCAAATTTGCAGCTTCACACTGTGTCTGTGGAGACCCATCTGTGGCCAAGGATGTGACTTATAATCGCAAGAGATTTAAATGTCATTTAATCCAGCCCCCCTTATGTATACCCTGCAGGTACAATAATCCATCTGCCTCCTGCATCCCCTATGATCTTAGGGTTGCATTTTTATATCACCTTTTTATCCTCAGGGACCTTGAGGCGGTGCACATCAGTGGCATGCGGTCAGTGGACAAGGGGGACTAGGCTACTCCCCTAAATGTTCCCCCGGTGCCTCCTCCCCAAAGCTCAGGAAGCTTCTGCACAGCCTAGGAAGGGAGATGTGATGTCATCGCCCCCACCACAATTGCCCTCACAAGCTGGCGCCTCTGGTCCTGTTCCCCTACGAAAAATTTCACCGCACGCCACTGGCGCACATGTTTCTCCCTTTCGTCATTGAATCCCCACAACAATCCTGGGAGGTAGGCTAAGCTGAGAGGAAGGGACTGGCCCAAGGTGGGCTTCATGGCTGAGTGGGGATTTGAACGCTGGTCTCCCATGTCCTAGTCTGACATGCTAACCGCTACTCCACCCTGGCTCTCTATGAAATGTAGACCACAAGCAGAGAGCGGGTTTTTGCAAAACAAGCTGCTCTTAAATCCTCATGCAACAACTCACACTGCAGAAACTCACCCAAGCTTCCTAGTGTGTGACCTGGAGAAAAAAATACTCCCTGGTGTCAAATGCATCAATCAGCTTCTCTGAGAGTTTTCAACATAAGCTGTGCAAAAGATCAGCTGCAAACCAACTAAGAGTGCCGTTATACAGATCTACAGTGCAGTCACCTTTTCCTTTCTCTTCTCCTTCTTCTTCTTCTTCTTCTTCGGCGATCACTCATAGCCGAGTAAGATTCTCTTGTATAAACACAGTTTTAACGATGAGTCTGTAAGTGACTGTGGAGGCCAGTTCTGGATCCACACATCCTTCCACAGTGGGGACATTGGTTTCTGGGCTGGAGTTGATCACAGTGTGGATTTGCCAAGTGGGCCGTCCTCTTAGCACGTTTCTCCCTTTCATCCTGAGTTCAAGTGTCTTCAAAGCCCATGACACCTTTGGTAAGGCTGTTCTCCAATTGGAGCTCTCACAGGCAAGTGTTTCCCAATTGTTGGTGTTTATACTACATTTTTTTAAAGATTTGCCTTGAGACAGTCTTTAAACCTCTTTTGTTGACCACCAGCATTATGCTTTCCATTTTTAAGTTCGGAATAGAGTAGTTGCTTTGGAAGACGATAATCAGGCATCTGCTCAACATGACCAATCCAATGAAGTTGATGTTGAAGAATAATTGCTTCAACACTGGTGATCTTTGCTTCTTCCAATACACTGGTATTAGTTTGCCTGTCTTCCCAAGTGTTGTGTAAAATTTTTCAGAGACACCATTGATGGAATCTTTCGAGGAGTTGGAGGTGGCGTTTATAAATGGTCCATGTTTCACAAGCATATAATAAGGTTGGTAGTACAATAGCTTCTCAAGCAGGATATTGTAGAGTTGAAAAAGGTTCAGAAAAGGGCACTTTTATTTAAAACTACGACATTTCCTCCCACATGACAGGAGGCAGTGACAGCCACCAACTTGGATGGCTTTAAAAGAGGATTAGACCAATTCATGGAGCAGGAGGAGGAGGAGGCTGTTGATGAAAGGGGGATTCTGTCAGGGGCAACCTCTCTTGCCTCTGCAGCAAGAGGAATTAAAATGTCATGGGGATGAAATGTGAGGATGAAATGCAATAAATAAATGTGCAGCCAACAAGGCTGTCAACGTGTGTGCGAACAGGGCTTGAATGTCTTGTGGTCCTGATCACTCTGTCCACTGGTATATAACAGTCCTGCTCACGAGATGATCAGGTGCCAAGAAGGGACACACTATGGATTGTGTAGGAGGAAGAATTCTAGCCAGTGCAACTTTTCTCTCTCCCACAGCACTGCAGTGTGACAAACTGACCTTTAAAGCCCTAAACGGCCTCGGTCCTGTATACCTGAAGGAGAGTCTCCACCCCCATCGTTCAGCCCGGACACTGAGATACAGCACTGAGGGCCTTCTGACGGTTCCCTCATTGCGAGAAGTGAGGTTGCAGGGAACCAGACAGAGGGCCTTCTCGGTAGTGGCGCCTGCCCTGTGGAACGCCCTCCCTTCAGATGTGAAGGGAATAAGCAGCTATCTTATTTTTAAAAGACATCTGAAGGCAGCCCTGTTTAGGGAAGTTTTTAATATTTAATGCTGTATTGTTTTTAACACTCGATTGGGAGCCGCCCAGAGTGGCTGGGGAAACTCAGCCAGATGGGCGGGATATAAATAAATTATTATTATTATTATTATTATTATTATTAGCTATCTATCTTTTAGAGTTGCAGGGTTGGCGGGGATTATAGGTTATTCATATCCTGCTTTTCCCCCAAGCAGGGATTTGTGGCAGCTTCGAACATTTGAAAACAACATTACAAAAGAAAGAGAAAGAAAGAAAGAACCCTAGTTAAAAATAATAGTTAAAATACTGTACATCAAAAGACTTTTTGAACCAGCAATTAAAATGCAGCCTGCCATGTCAGCAGCCAGCCCAGTGATCAGCGTTAGTTTCCAAAGGCCTGTTTGATTTTAACAGCTTGCTGCTTTCCCCCTTGCAGTGGTGCAAGAGAAGCTGTCCCGGTAAAAAACCCGTTCCAAAGCAGCTCTTTAAAAAGTACACCTGGGGCTGCTGGGAGTTGTAGTCCATCAGCATCTGGAGGGCACCAGCAACATCTGACAAAAGGCGGTCCAGCCTTCAGTTCAATGAGCTCCAGCTCCACTGTGACTTACTGCTACCCTAGTAACGGATTGTGCGAACTGGGCCCTCTGCCAAGCGTGTCTGGGAAAGCTCTCCGGATTTTTGTGGACTCCGGAGGAGCCGTTGCCCCAGAGCAGGCAGCGTTTTTTGAACCCAGGCCCACTCAGATCCACAAATAGCAGCACCACCCTCCCTTGGACGTCTGTTCTCTCTTAGCAGCGTTGTGTGCGTGCTTTGGAAAGTTCACAGAGCATCCTTGCTTCCTGCCTCTGCCAACTGCTTGAGAATAATAGTGCTGAAAATGTGTTTCAAAGGGAATTTCAATTTGCAGTGCAGTGCTTGATTACTTAGGCAGCTTCCAGGCAGGGACTGTATGGACTGATGTGGGGGTTTTGGGGGGGAGGGGGCAGTCTGGATGATGCCCTGAGTCCCTTCCAGTCCCCAGGGAGGGTTAGACTCTAACAGAGAAGATTGCTGAACAAGTCAGACAAAGAATAGGTAAGAGGACAACCTTAGCTGGTCGCTTAAGTGTCCTCATCAGCATCCCAAAAGAATGAGTGAGATTGCACCCAGTAAAATTGCAAAAATGTATAGGACCAGCTCAAATGTTTGCTAGAAATGTAAAAAGAAAGAGGGTACCTTTTATCATATGTGGTGGACATGTGGGGAGGTAAAAGCTTTCTGGGAAATGATATATAATGAGCTGGGGGGGGATGCTTAAGATAACTTTTTAAAAAAAAACAGAGGCTTTTTTGTTAGGTATTACGGGCGTGGAATTACCAAAAAATAAAATAAAATACTGTTTATGTATGCAATGACAGCAGCAAGGATGCTCCTAGCCCAGAGATGGAAAGAAGAAAAAGTATAGACCAGAGAAGAGTGACCAAGCTGATGGAATATGCAGAAATGGCAAGACTGACGGGAAAGATCAGAAACCAGGAAGATCAAGTATTTCTAAAAGACTGGAATAATTTTTTAACATATTTGAGAGACCACTGTAAACAGCTGAAATCTTTGGCAGGGATACAAGGACACTTGTAAAGTAACATGAACTTTGGAAACCAGGATTGTATAATGGATAGATTACATTAAAAGATGCAGGAACAAAATATAGAAATGGAACCCATGGAGGGAAGGAAGGTCTGAAGGTTTGAAAGAACCGTTTTTTTAATTTTTGGAAATGTTATGTTTGTTGTATTTAACTTTTATGAATATATATATATACAGTGGTACCTCGGGTTACATACGCTTCAGGTTACAGACTCCGCTAACCCAGAAATAGTACCTCGGAGTACCTTCAGGTTGAGAACAGAAATCGTGCTCTGGCGGTGCGGCAACAGCAGGAGGCCCCATTAGCTAAAGTGGTGCTTCAGGTTAAGAACAGACCTCCAGAATGAATTAAGTTCTTAACCCAAGGTACCACTGTGTGTGTGTGTGTGTGTGTGTGTGTGTGTGAGAGAGAGAGAGAGAGAGAGAGAGAGAGAGAGAGAGAGAGAGAGAAGAATGAGCAGGTTGCAAGAGATGCAGCCAAGTGATGGTGCCCTCCAAGCCTGTGCCTGGGTCTCCTCCACCCACCCAACCCATCTAGCTGCTAGGGAGGAGAGCAACAGCCAGTGCGGTGAATGTGAGCCGGCTGGAAAAGCAGACTGGAAGCTGGAGACACAGAGACCTGTTTGCTCTGTGCTGGATCCAAAACTGCGACTGAAGGAGAAGCAAGACCTGTTGGGGTGTTGACGCTGTGAGCCCCTCGGTCCTATGCTCAGGTTGTAGAGATGTGTAAATAAGACCATATATCGTAAAGACACCACATTCTTGACTGACCTTCATTCCAAGCAAGCAGAGCCCTGAGTAAGCACCAGAACCTTTGGAGTGGAGTCTCTCACTGCTTGGAGATTTTTGGGAACAAACCAAGAAAGTTCACCACAGTCCATCACCGTCATCATAAATAGTAAACTTTTTATTACTCATCCAAACATTACAACAGAGTGAGAGGTTTCTTCTGCAAGAGTTTCATTCCAGCAGAACAGTTAAATAACAAAATAGGTTTGAACGTAAACAAGAATCCCCCCAAAACAAATTTTGAATAAATGGAAACAAAAGGAAACCATGACAAAATGTTGCGCTGTATCCTCGCTGCCTAAAATGACTGCACCTGTTCAGTCCTCTTGCAGGGCGCTGAAAGCCATCCTGCTTCTGGGTTGCTGCTATTTTGGGGTGGGATGATGGCAAACTGGGCAGTTACAGTTGATGGGGAGGTCATGAGCAGCAAACCTGCTTTCACAAAAAGATGGGAATTGTTTTTTTTTCAAAACGGAAGGTGGCAGGATAAGGAAATGCACTGGAAAGTCTGGGATGATGCTAGCTTTGACACAACATCATCTAACATCTCTGCAAACAAATCAGAGTAAATAGACCGCTCAGTAAATAGCAGTCGTCATCTAATCTCCCTGCAGACAAATCAGGCTGAATGCTCAATAAACAAATCATCTAAAAGCACCCCAGGCCTTCACCAACCTGCCCTGTCCTGGACTACAACTCTCATCAGCCCCAGCCTTCACTGCTATGCTGAGATTCTCCATTAAGCTGCGCACTTAATGGTACAGATGTGCACACAGTGGTTTCAAAATAAAAATAAATGATGGGCACAGCAATGAGGAAAGGAGGGCAAGATGGAACATCTGAAGAACCTTGCTTGCCGTATCAGGCCAGCTACCCAGGAGAATCTTGATGTGCAGAAAGCAGCTATGCTTGCTCTCTTAAAAAATACTGGTTCATTGGGCAAGGCCACATCCTCAGCACAAGGAGGCCAGAAGTGGTGGGGTGGGAACGGGAGGTTTATGTCAGAGGAGAAGGTGGAGCCCAGTCAGAGGCGCAGTCGGGGAACAACTGATGGGAGGAGCCATTTGGCGGAATTTGAAACGGAACAGTCTTCTGGGCTGGTTAGGGATTGAATCTGGTTAGGTTATTTGTCTTGGCAAAATATTGGCTGGTTGGCAACCCTATAATTGGCTGGCTGGCAACTCAGCACAACCAGAATCCAAATACTGTAACTACTTTGGGTAGGTTCACTCAATGGGACTTTGGACTCTCCTCCCAATCCCAGCCAGCTTTGAAGAGCAGATCCCTGTGATGTTTCACCAGCATGCTTTAGAAATGCCCATCCATTCCAAAGTCATTTGCCCAAGCAGGATGGCGTGTCTGTAGTTTGCAGGATGGCGTTTCTGTAGTTTGAGAAGCATCCTGTAAAGGCTAAGAACTTGCAGTGTGGCTGTTTGGATCGTGACCATAAGAGGTTCATATTCAACATCTATTTTTAATAATAATAATAATAATAATAATAGTAGCAAATTTGCTGGTCTTATGTCTTCTTCCTAAAGTCAGTGGTTTAACCAAACTTATGCAATAAACAAGGACATAATGGTAAACATTTTAGTTTTCTTTCCGGGGATAAAAAGAAGGGGGAAAATCCCCCCCCCACACACACACACATTACAGAGTACTGGAAATTTGCCTCCTTGCTATTTAGCTCTTCTCCATCCCTCTTTTTAAAAGGGGAATTATATAGCATGCAACCGAGAGCAGGCGCCTTCTGGGTGGCTTTCAGCATGCATTGCAGATAACATTTAAAACAACATAGCAAAGCCTCCAGCTACCTCTGAGCACTTAAGTCAAAGAGAAAATGCTTTGGGTGGGTGGCAAGCGCCCACGGTCCAATCCAGCAGGGTTCTTGCACTGAACTGGCATGAGATCCATTTGAGCTCTATTTCCTGCCCAATCAACCTAATCATTTCTCCAACCCCTGCAGAGCCTCTGAAAAGGTTTGCCTTCACACAAATGCCGTAATTGCTCTTTCGAACCCTGCCACTGCAGAGTGATTAATGTAAGCCGGCCTCCCCTGAGCAAAAGCCACAGCCTCTGACTCGCAAGACCCACCCTCTAACTCCGGAGACACGGCGTCTGCTTTTGCTGCTGTTCAGCGATGAAGCAAATGGTGCTCTGCACATGCTCCAAAGCACCTTCCTCGTCCTTTTTTTTCACAACGCCGTTCCTGATCCACAGCGCCAGACCCTGGTAACATCGTGCGGGAGGCGTGCATCACTCCTGCTTCCAAGGCGCAAAATCACAGAATCACAGAGTGGAAAGGTACCCCATGCGGTCATTTAGTCCAACCCCTAGTAAAGCAGGAACCACAACTAAGGAACCCCTGTTGATGGGCCATCCAACCTCTGTTTTGTGCTTGCAAGAGACGGCTACTCTCAGAGGCAAGAAGTACATTTATAGCTGTCCATAACTCTAAGTCCAAGGTGTGCAAGCTTTCTGCACCATCCTTCTGTGGTCATTTCGCCTGATGATCCTTAGGGATGGATGCACATCCAACTGAGCGGCCGTCACCAGAGCTCCTCTCCCACAATTCCCTAGTTCCTCTCTTTCCTCCCAGCTCCCCGAAACCAAAGCTCATTCTGTTCTTCTCCTCCCAAGGACAGCTGACATGCTGCGTACGAGTCCCCGGATGCCAACTGCCTTTTTGGTGGCGCTCCTGGAGTCCCGTACCAGGTCCAGGAGTTCGTGGAAGACCACCAGGGCACCATGGTAGGTCTCGGCGGCAGAGATCTCGAAGAAGCCCGCGTCGGTGGAGAGGGCCAGAAGGCGGCCTTCCTCGCTGGAGACGGTTCTCAGGTGCTGCAAGTCCCGCTTGTTCCCCACCAGGATAACGGGGACCTTTTCGGCGCCTCCTCTCTTCTTCAGCTGCTTGATCCTCTGGAGCTGCTGGCGGGCGAAATGGAAGCTGGTGCGGTCGCTGATGCTGTAGACGATGACGAAGCCGTCGGCCCAGCGGAGCTGCTTCTCGTTCAGGCAACCCTGGAGCTTTGCCATCTGCACAAATTTGAACGAGGGCCGGAGTTAGCGAGGCACTTTTATTTACTCCTACGTGGGGCTACCTTTGAAGGTGACTTGGGAAATGCAATTAATCCAGAATGCAGCAGCTAGACTGGTGACTGGGAGTGGCCGCCGGGACCACATAACACCGGTCCTGAAAGACCTACATTGACTCCCAGTACGTTTCTGACCACAGTGTTGGCGCTGACCGTTAAAGCCCTAAATGGCCTCGGTCCTGTATACCTGAAGGAGCGTCTCCACCCCTGTCGTTCAACCCAGATACTGAGGTCCAGTGCCAAGGACCTTCTGGCAGTTCCCGCCCTGTGAGAAGTGAGGCTACAGGGAACCAGGCAGAGGTCCTTCTCGGTAGTGGTGCCTGCCCTGTGGAACGCCCTCTCATCAGATGTCAAGGCAATAAACATCTACAGTGGTACCTCTAGATGTGAAAGGGATCTGTTCCGGAGCCCCATTCGTATCTAGAAGCAAAGTAACCAGCGACGGCATGTCTGCGCACGCGCATGTCGCTTTTTGCCACTTCTGTGCATGCGCGTGACGTCATTTTGAGCGTCTGCGCTTGCGCAAGTGGCAAAACCCAGAAGTAACGTGCTCCATTACTTCCGGGTTGCCACAGAGCAACTTGAACTCGCTCATCCTGAAGCACATTCAACCTGAGGTATGACTGTATCTTGCTTTTAAAAGACATCTGTTTTTAATGTTTAATGCTGTATTGTGTTTTTAATATTCTGTTGGGAGCTGCCCAGAGTGGCTGGGGAAACCCAGCCAGAAGGGCGGGGTATAAATAATAAATTATTATTATTATTATTCCTCCAAGGAATTCAAAGGTGGTATACATCACTCTCCCTCTCCCCTGTGAAGTACCTTAGGCTGGTTGGGCCAAGGCCACCTAGTAAACTTCATAATTGAGTGAGGGTTTGAACTCTGGTCTCCTAGTTCCTAGTTTGATACTCTAACTGCTACACCACCCTGCCACCTGCCCCTAATGCTCCTTCAGGAAATCGACTTTCGGAAATCAAATTATTAAATTAATTATTCAGGCCTCCAAAAGAGCTTCCTCTCCCTCCTTGCCCATCATGTACATCTCTGACTAATGGCACAACATCATTTCAGAGCATGAGAAGAACACCCCCCCCCATCTCTCAGCAGTAATAATCCTCCTACGGAACCTATCAATTTACATATTAGGGTGCTCGACTGTCACCCTAACCATGGCATTCGCCTGTTGTGGAAATTGCCAATTTACATATTAGGGTGCTCGACTGTCACCCTTCAGCCAGGCATTCGCCTGTTGTGGAAATTGCCATGGTGAATTGTGTGTGATGATGTCTTACCTGGGGGCAGACGGAGTCCCAGATGCTGAAGCAGGCTTCCTGGCCAGCCATCATCACTTTGTGGGTGTAAATTGATTCTGGAAGGGAGGAGAGGTGGAGAGAAAATGTGTTAATAACAGCGCAGGCCGCAGGCTACATTAACTGGTCTTATTTCTGGTCTGTTGGCCATAATAAATTGAGGGTGGGTGTGCATTAACTCTGGAGCCATGCCTTCAAGGGCAGATTGTATGGATTGTATAGGGCATGGGTAGGCAAACTAAGGCCCAGGGGCTGGATCCGGCCCAATTGCCTTCTAAATCCAGCTCACGGACGGTGCGGGAACCAGCGTGTTTTTACATGAGTAGAATGTGTCCTTTTATTTAAAATGCATCTCTGGGTTATTTGTGGGGCATAGGAATTCGTTCATTTACACCCCCCCCCAAAAAAAATATAGTCCGGCCCCCCACAAGGTCTGAGGGACAGTGGACCGGCCCCCTGCTGAAAATGTTTGCTGACCCCTGGTATAGGAGATGTAAAAGGTAATGGTAAAGGGACCCCTGACTGTTAAGTCCAGTCGTGGACGACGGGTTGCGGCGCTCATCTCGCTTTACTGGCCGAGGGAGCCAGGGTACAGCTTCCAGATCATGTGGCCAGCATGACTAAGCCGCTTCTGGCGAACCAGAGCAGTGCATGGAAACACCGTTTATCTTCCCGCCAGAGTGGTACCTATTTATCTACTTGCACTTGGACGTGCTTATTTATTTATCGTTATGCATCTATCACACTTTTCCCTCAAGAAGCTCAAAGAAGCATTCAGAGGGGTTTTTCAACCACCCCGACTCCTATTTTATCCCCACAATAAAAACCCTGTGAGGTGGGAGATGGTGAATAGCACAAGGTCAAGGGAGAGAGGGAGGGAAGGAAGGAAGGAAAGTGAGGGGGTGACCAGGAGGGAGGAAAAGGAAGATGAAAAGGACTCTATTTATTTATTTTTCATGATTTATATACTGTTTGATGATCACAACGAAACCCCAGAGAGCTTTACAAAAAGAATCAATAGCTTTATTATTTCTGCAGATCACTTTGAGGTCTTATTACAACCAAGTGGTATATAATTTTAACGTAAAAATAATTTGTAGAATTGATTATCGGGGGGGGGGGATGGGACCAGAGAAGGATTATCTCAAAGGTCACTTACCAATATCTCCATATTCGCCAATAAACCTCCGAGTCAGAAACCGAACCGTCAAAGCTGGAATGTGGGAAGAAGCAGCAATATTAGGATGGCATCATTGATCCGGCTGCTACAGGCAATAAATCTTTATTTACAGGTTGGTTTCATTATTGCATTTATAGTTTACTTTTCCCTCCAAGGAGCTCAAGGTGGTTCACACGGTTCTGCCCCTCCTCATTTAATCCCTCACAACAACATCCCTGTGAGGTAGGTTAGGCTAAGAGACAGGGACTGGCCCAAGGTGAAGTGGGATTCATAGCTTCATAGGTGCAACAAGAATGATTTGATTTTGGTCAGACTAGAAGTGACATCACCACATCCCAGGTGAGGATTCATCCCAGATCCATCGCAATTAGAGAAAGAGACAGACAGACAGATGTGGGGGATCTTTCCTTTGCCATCTACTTCCTCAGAGCTCCATTCTGACATGACTTTTCCCCTCACTTCCAATATTGTGCAGCTCCATGAAGGGGGAAAACAATGAGAATGGGTGCAGGAGACGGATTGTGAGTTAAGAGGTGGGTTTAGCATTGGGCCCGTCCTTGCAGTCCTCCTGACACAATACCCAGCTGCTTCTGAAGTGATCACGGCCCACTTGACTCAGAATGTAGGCATTTCACCCACGTTGCAGAATCCTAGAAATTGTAAAGTTGGAAGGGACCCCTAAAGGCCATTTAGCCCAACCCCCCCTGCAATGCAGGACTCACAGCTGCAGAACCTCTGGCAGTTGGCCATCCAGCCTCTGCTCAGAAACCTCCAATGAAGGAGAGCCCACCACTTTCGGAGGGTGTCCCTCCCACAGAGCTAGGCCTCTGCCCAAAGTACAGATACAGAAGCCTTCACCAACCTACGTAGTGCCCTCCAGAGGTTGTGGACACCTGTCAGCCCTACAGCTGTGCTAAAGCCACAGACAGCCCTCGCCTTTCCCCTTCTCTCCCCGGCAGACTACATTTAGATTGCAACAGGGACTATGTTTTCAAATCGTACCTCTAAAGTGGCTTTACGTTGATGGCATTTAATAAAAAGCTGACAAAAAGCAGTGACGAAGTTGTCCTTTGCAGTGTTCAATGTGCTGTTCCTCCTGGCAGGGAGGTCAATCTTGTTGTCCCCTGGTTGGAAACCAAGGGACTTGCTTTGATATTCAATTCCCTGTTTCCTATCCTAGCTCACGGCATAGTTGTGACATGACTAAGAGAAGAGTGAGAGGCAATAGGAGAGAGCCACCTTCAAATACCTGAAGGGCTGCTCCATGGAAGCAAGGTTGGGTTTTTTTTTGGCTGCTCCAGAGGGTGGGACCCAAAGCAATGGATTCAAATGACAAGGAAGGACATCCGAACTCAACATTAGCAAAAGCTTTCTGGGGGTAAGAGCTGTTCGATGGTGGAACGCACTATCTCCAAAAGTAGTGGACTCTCCTTCAAAGAGAAGTTGGACGGCCAGGGATTATTTAGCCGTGATCCCTCCATTGCAGGGGGTTGGATTAGATGACCTTTGGGGTCCCTTCCAACTCTACAGTTCCATGACACCAGTTCCTTTATCCTCGGCAAAGATGGCACTTTGCAGCATAAGCAAACAGGCAGCCAAACTCCTGCCCCAATATGCTTACAAATATGTGGACCATTTAGCTGACCAGATCCAAGCCAACTCCTTAACTTGAGGCCTGTTTAAAACCAACAGCAAAATTGTGGAAGCTGCCCTATACTGAGCCAGAGCGTAGGCCAGTCTTATCCTCACCTTGTGTGAGGAGCCTTTGCCTGCCCCTGCCAGATGTTGCTCAATGACGAGTCTCTGGTCACTGGCCATGCTTGCTGGGGTGATGGGAGTTGCAGCTCATCAACATCTGGAGGCCTGAAGGTTCCTCGCCATCCTCCGTTCCAATGCCCTCCAGATGTTCTGGTCTACAACTCCCATCAGCCCCAGCCAGCATGGCCCAGTGATCAGAGCCGATGGGACTAACCCCCAGTGGCTCTGTGGGGTCATTCCCAGCCCTGCTTGGAGATGAGAGAGGGACTGAACCTGGAATCCCTTTGCATGCAAAGCCAGCACTTGCGGGTCACTCACCTGACTTGCCCACCTTCCCAGCTCCAATGACGAGGATGTTGGCTTCCAGTTTGGGCAGGCTCCCTTCAGATATCTTCCCGGCCTGCTGGAAAGCCATCCTCAGCTTGACCAACATTTGGAGTTTTAATCCTCTGGAGGAGAGAGAGAGCAGAGAGCTCAATGGGCGCAGCCGGCAGGGTGTTCTAAAGGAGCTTCTTAGCAAAGTGCTTCCCTTCCTCTGCCTCTGCTTCGCTCTCCCTCCTTCTCTCCTGCTGGTATTTTATATAGCGGAGAGGAGGGGCGGCTGCTTGAGTGGCAGGGACAGCCAGGAACAGCTCTGCACTGTGCGTTCTGTGTTCGACGGAGCCTGAATATTGCAAACAGGTCACTGAGATATTGCACGCAGGTTATTTTTGACAGAGTCTTTGTTTGTTCTTTAGCAGATCGTCCGTGGAAAAAGAAACTCTAGCTGAAATGGAGGGGAAAACACAGGCTGGTGTACATGGTTCCCCCCCCCCCGTCATTTAACCCGCACAACGACCCTGCAAGGTGGGTTAGGCTGAGAGTGGACTACCAGCCCAAGGTCACCCAGGGAGCTTCACTGTCAAGTGAGGGGGGGATTTGAATACTGGTCTCCCAGTTCCTAGTCTGACACTCTTAAGCACTACGTCACGCTGACCATTGTGCAGAGACTGCAAGAAAAAAATTGTATGGATCAGCAGCACCCTTCCTACAATAAGCACCCAGAGGGAGAGCAGAATACCTGGAAGGAATGCCTGGGTGCGGACAATGCCTTTGGCTGCCCTAACGTATGCACCAAGCAGAGAATGAGCTTTCAAGTCCCTGTGGAACAAATGTCAGTCTATGAGAAAGAAGCAATTCAGGGCTTTGGGGAGAAAATTGCAAAGGGCATCAAAAGAGGAATTTTTTAAAAGACGTCAGCAGTGGGCAGAAGCAATGGAAGGAAGCCAAATGGATTGTTTTTACTTAGTTGCAATATTTATGGTGCTGTTGTTTTTTGTTGTTATTGTTATTTCCATATAATTTTTTATGGAAGTTTTAAAATGATAAGGAAAAGAAACAAATTTCCAGAAGATAAGTAAGAAAGTGATGAGAGAGGGGGTGGGGATACTGGAAGAGGGCTATTATGCAGCATTGATGCATAAATATGGTGGTTTAACAAATACTTCTGCAAATTTGGAAAAGAAGATACAGTGGTACCTCGGGTTAAGAACTTAATTCATTCTGGAGGTCTGTACTTAACCTGAAACTGTTCTTAACCTGAAGCACCACTTTAGCTAATGAGGCCTCCCGCTGCAGCTGCACCGCCGGAGCACGATTTCTGTTCTCACCCCGAAGCAAAGTTCTTAACCTGAGGTAATATTTCTGGGTTAGCGGAGTCTGTAACCTGAAGCGTATGTAACCTGAAGCATATGTAACCCGAGGTACCACTGTACTGCGATTTTATTTTATTTGAAATGTTCATAAGGGGATTTATGAAAACTTGAAAATGTCAGAACAATTAAACAGAACAAATCTGGCTTTCTTAATAATAATGATACCGCTAGAGCAGCAAAAGAGCCTTGCTCTGATTTTAATTAGTTTTCTAAGGTCTCATATACACCTCCAGACTTGGCTGGACCAGGTAGCACCACTCTGCAGCTACTGCCTTACTCCCCCGCAACACCCCCCCCCGCCGCCATTAATGGGGAAAGAGGCCGTGGCAAACCCACATTTGGACAAGCCCAGTGTGGACAAGCCCACATTCTGCCTTCCCAATAAGGCACTTCCTTCTTTCCAAGCTCTGAGAAGAGACTAAGGAAAGGTGCTGCCACCTTGTGACCAGAAAATAAAATAAAATCCCATAAAGACTAGAGTCACCTCCAGATAATCATCTTGATTTTCATGTTGTTCATCTTGATTTGTTTGAATCAGATTTGCAAGGAGGTTTGATGACAACCTGGTTATCTCCAATTTTCCAGCCTGCACATATCCAGCTCCCTCAGCCGTTCCTCACAAGGCTTGGTTTCCAGACCCTTGATCATCTTGGTCACCTTCCTCTGCGCACCTTCCAGTTTGTCAATACAGTGGTACCTCTGGTTACGTACTTAATTCGTTCTGGAGGTCCGTTCTTAACCTGAAACTGTTCTTAACCTGAAGCACCACTTTAGCTAATGGGGCCTCCTGCTGCTGCCGCGCCACCAGAGCACGATTTCTGTTCTCATCCTGAAGCAAAGTTCTTAACCTGAAGCACTATTTCTGGGTTAGCGGAGTCTGTAACCTGAAGCGTATGTAACCCGAGGTACCACTGTATCCTTTTTAAACTCTAGCGCCCGGAATGGGACACAGTACTCCAGATGTGGTCTAAGCAAGGCAGAATAGAGTATTACTATTGCTTCCTTTGACCTGGACACTATACTTCTGTTGATGTAGCCTAGAATGAGCTTTTTTTTGCTGCTGTAAGGTAAATAAAAAAGAAGGTAAAAGTAAAGGACCCCTGGATGATTACATCCAGTCAAAGGTGACTATGGGGAGCGGCACTCATCTCACTTTCAGGCTGAGGGAGCCGGCATTTGTCCACAGCTTTCTGGGTCATGTGACCAGTATGACTGCTTCTGGCGCAACGGAAACACCGTGACATAAACCAGAGCGCAGGGAAATACTGTTTACCTTCCTGCCGCAGCGGTACCTATTTATTGATTTGCACTGGTGTACTTTTTAACTGCTAGGTTGGCAGGAGCTGAGACAGAGCAACAGGAGCTCAACCCATTTTGTGGATTCGAACCACTGACCTTCCAATCAGCAAGCCCAAGAGCCTCAGTGGTTTAGACCACAGCACCACCCACTGTGGCGGGTGCATCACACTGTTGACTCATGTTAGGTGAGGCTGAGAGACAGGGACTGGCTTTCAAGGTTGCCCGGTGTGAGAGTTTCATGATGGCCAAGTGGGTCATGAAACCTCTTCTCGCAGGTACTAGGAGACTGGCACTCTAACCACTAATGGGGCAGGGAGGAAAAATAAGGATTTGTCTCCCTTTGGCAGGATCATCTCAACCTCCCAGATAACAATGCAATGCTGCAAAAGCAGGCTGCCTCTGGATCTTTCCCGCTTCAGCAGTCAGTGGTTGGCAGGTTTCTCCTTGTATTACGCTTGGCTTGTTTTCCTAGACTTCCTGAAACCCACGCTTGCTTCCTTGCTCATTGTGAAATTTTCTTATCGATTTCCTCCATTGTTCAGGAGCTGATTAAAATTGTTGATTGTCGGGTTGCCAGCTTACCCAGGAAGAATGTGTGACCCTCACAGCCTTGGGAGGTTGCAAAGAAATAAATAAATTCCGTAACATGAACCCATGTGGTTTGTGCACAGTAGGGCAGAGTTGGGGAACTCTTTGCAGCCCCAGAACCACATTTCCTCAGGGACAACTTTCTGGGGAGTGGCGGGGTGGGGACTGTGCGTCAGGAGTGGGTGTGGCCAAAGGCAGGAAGTGGGTGGAGCAACAGAGATGACTTTGTTCAGTAGATTTATCCCTCTCCATCCGCCATCCAAGCAAGCAATAAGCAATCTCTCTCTCTCTGTGTGTGTGTGTGTGTGAGAGAGAGAGAGAGAGAGAGAGAGAGAGAGAGACAGACAGACAGACAGACAGACAGAGACAGAGACAGAGACAGAGACAAGCATGAAAGTACAGACAGGGATAACCACCCAAAATGTAGGGGAATACATTTACAGTGGTACCTCGGGTTACATACGCTTCAGGTTACAGACTCCGCTAACCCAGAAGTAGTACCTCAAGTTAAGAACTTTGCTTCAGGATGAGAAAAGAAATTGCGCGGCGGCAGCAGCGGGAGGCCCCATTAGCTAAAGCGGTACCTCAGGTTAAGAACAGCTTCAGGTTAAGAACGGACCTCCAGAACGAATTAAGTTCTTAACCCGAGGTACCACTGTATTGGGACCAGCCAAAATGTCATTAAAGCAATTCTTTTCTTTGGGTCTGCAGGGGTTCAACCATCCGCAGGAGCCAAACTAAACTCAGCACTACTTGCTTATTTCATTTGTGTACCACTATTTCCCCCAAGAAGCTCAAGGTAACATACATAGTTCTCCTCCACGTCCCCGCCGCCCCACAACAATCCTGTGAGGTAGTTTAGGTTGAGGGACAGTAACTGCCCATCCCCCGTCACCCAGTGAGCTTCATGGCTGAGCGGGATTCAAACCCTGGTCTTCCAGGTCCTAGTCCAACACTGTTGCACCACACGGGCTCTCTGCTTTTATCCAGGCCGGCCCTGTCCTTAGGCAGGGTGAAATGGCTACCTCAGGTGGCAGTTGCTGCAGAAGACGGTGGGATGGAGAGTGGCAGCCTGTCCTGGGCCCCTTAGCACTTGGGAGTGGGGGATGCTATCCCATCATCAGCGTTGAAGTTAGACCCATCTGCCAGTCCAGGAGGCTTCTGAGCATGGCATCAGGGTGGGAAGGTGCCAGTTTGTTCTCTCCTCATTTATCAAAGATGTCTTATGGAGCTTGGCTCCACAATGAATACCTTTATCAATGTACACTCCCACGGTACATTTATCAGTGACTGCAATTCAGGGTCCAGAAAATGTCTGGTATTGGAAGCACCCTGAGGCCAGAAGGTGTCTCTTGCTAAAGAAGCTTTGGAAAAGCGCCTCCCTGCCCTGGGGGCTAAGTTCTTCTTTGGATTTTATTTTATTTTATTTTATTTGAGAGGGGCAGAGATTTGAGGGAATAGTTTTGGTGAAGTTAATTTGAAGGAAAAGGCCAACTCTTTCCTCTTGGTGTGGAGGCTAGCCTCGAGTGAAGAGATTTCCTCCATGTGGACTAGTCTCCTGAGCTGTCCTAAATGTCACCCACTCCTCAATAACCTGGCCTCAGACCTTGCGCCGAGTACCACCCCTTCGACACACAATACAAGCGAGTGTCACTCCTTCATTCACAAGCATACAGATGTTTGGGCCTCGGTTGCACGCTGACAGCAAAGGAGTGGCTCTCAGTAGGGTCGCCAGCTGACCCACAAAGCAACAGCTTTGCCTGCTCCTCTGCCTTTCACAGGACTTTGACCTGCAGAAATCAATGGGTGGGGCAGCACCCTGGACTGAGATCAGCAATTCCACTAGCTCATG